CAGATCTTGCTGGTCACAGAGCTCTAGCAAAGCCCCTCAGTGCTGCAAGGGTGAGTGGTCCCCTGGGAGAGCCAAGAAGAGAATGGGGACAGGCCAGATGGGTGGGGAATGTGGGCAGGGATGGAACTTCTAAGTGAAGGGATTGGATGGGACAAAATCCTTGTCTGTTGTTACCTGGCACTGCTGGCCAGCAGGACCCCATGTGATGGCTCTTTGGGCTTAGCAGGATTCACTCAGGCTCAGGTTTTTTCCCCCCTTTCTACCCATGTCTAGGAAGGGATGAAGTTTGGCAGGGAAAGCTGTGCCCTATGTCATGGCTGTGAAGTTCTTTGGTGATGATCCCCACCTTTGGGACAGGGCTGGACTGGGGGGTGGTGGTGGGTGGGGGTGTGAGTGGGGGCTGTGTCTCAGGTTTAACAACCAGACCAGTGAAAATGAGCAATCTGGATTCTGGAGTCAGGGTAACACAGAGATGCAGGTACCAGCCCCCAGGGACCCAAAGAGGGTCCCCACACCTCTCTGCATTGTGTCACCCTCTGCTGCTCATGGCTTTGCCCTGTCTGTCACTGCTCCCAGCCTGGTAGATGACAGACAAACTGGGAAGAAAGCCCATGTAAACTAGGGCAAAATACAGGCTGGAGATGTGAGCCTGGCAAGGTCACATTGTGCCATGTGTTTGTGCTCAAGAAGCCACAATACAGCCCTCTGGTCTGTGCCCAGCACCTGCCTGGCAAGCAGCATGGCCAAGAGTAAGGCTGGTTGGGAGTTTGCAGTGGCATCATCCTGGTGGCAGGAGAGGAAAGCCCCAACGTGTGGCTCTTGCTTCTCAGCACCACAACAGCCTGGGTTGCTGTCGGGCTCCCCGCACGTTTGCATCCCTGATTATCTTGCTGGAGTAAAAAAACAGGGCCCAAACTCCCCCTGTGCAGCAAGAAGGTTTCCATGCAGGTCCCAGGGATGATCAGCAGGAGGATGGAGATTTTAATTAATCTGTGCACAGCCTGAGGTAAAAGCTGTGTGCTTGAGACAGAGGCTTGGAAACACCTTCTCTTTTCCAAGGGAGCTGTTGGCCAGGCTGGTTGGCCCCTTGGCACTTCCCAAAATAAATCTAATCTCCCAAAACATCAGGCGTGGCTATCTGGAGAGGAAGGTGTGGGAAGGTTAGCCCCAAGGCTGCTCTGCCTCTGAAGGGCAGGAGCCAATTGGAGCAGAAGGTACTTCTGGAGGGTGCAGAAGAAGAAGGGGAGGTGCCTGGGCACCTCCAGGACACACAGGCTTTGCAGGGCCAGACACATCTAATGCAGCAGCCACATCCCTCTCCCGTGTCTGCAGCAATGAATCTAGTGGAGCAGTTACAGAATCCATACTGTATCTGCATTTCGTGCCAGCATGGGTGAGTTTAAGTTGGTTTCCTACATGTTGGATGAAGTGTCTGTCCCTCCAGGCTCCACTCACACTGTCCTTTGGAGAACACTGAGCCCTCAAATGGCACCTTCCTCCACCTGGAGTCAGCAGAACCTCATCCATGAACCCTATGTACACACGTTATATGTTTAATATATAGATAACTTTTTAATATACACTTTAAATATTTTAAGTGTATTTACATGCATAGGTGCCAGGCCAGTGCTCACTGTGAACATGGGAAGAGTCTGGGGTGATACTGGGAGAACCTGGGGACCCCTGTGCTGCTGCAGGGATCTGGGAGAGGCCACTGCAAAGGGCTGTGGGCCCTTCTCTGGGGTTTAAGGACTTCTCCAAATGTGCACCCTGATCCTCACAAAGTGTAGCACCCTGGAACCTGTGGCTGTACGTAGGGAAGAGGCTGGAGGAAGAAGGGAATTCATTAAATCAGTGGCTCCCAGGACCCCTGGGGTACTTGTGTGGCTGCCCCACAGTCAGACTGACAATTACGAACCCTGTTGATAAGTTTTCTCCTCAGGCCTGGGAATTACTGTGATGTAGGGGCCTCCAGCACTGCTGTCCAATGGGTCTAACGGTGCTGGAGGCCTGAGCACAAGGAGCTGCATTTGCAGGGAGCTCTTTTGCAAAAGTAATTAACTTGCTTGACTGCATTTTTGTTTTTTCCTGTGCCTGCCCCCGACTGTCTGGCTTGACAAACACCCAGAGGCATTTGGGGCATGCTCAGCACTAACAGGCTATAAAATCTCTGTGTCAGGAGCTTGCCTGGGATGAGTTATGAAAGGGCAGTAGAGCATCATCACAGGATGTTAGGGCTTGGAAGGGGCCTCTGGAGATCATCATGCAGCAGCACTCTCCCAAACCAGCCTGGCTGCCAGGGCTCAGGGTGGTGACAACATCTCTGCTGTAGCTTTTGGGAAAGGAGAGAGGTGGCTTTGCCCCCCGTTCCCAGGCAGGCACAGGGTCACAAAAAGTGAGCCAGCAGGAAGGGGTGGGCAGCATCTCTGCATCACTGCCTCTCTCCTGATGAGCATCTTGCGTGTTCTTGGCTGTGCTGAGCTGTTCTGTGAAGTGCCAGGTATAGACATCCTGGCTTGATGGTAAAAACAGTGGCATTTGTGACAAAAGCAGCGTGAGCAGAGGCCATCTCAGGGGTTATGGCTTCCAGGCTTCACTGGAGGAACAAGATTCCTATGGGACAGGTAGCCAGCTGTCCTGCACCCACCTCTCCCATACAGGAGAGTGCAGTTGTGTAATAGAATGGTTTGGGTTGGAAGGGACCTTCAAGATCATCCAGATCCAACCCCCTGCATGGGCAGGGACACCTCCCACCAGCCCAGGCTGCTCCAAGCCCCATCCAACCTGCCCTTCAACCCGGCCAGGGATGGGGCAGCCACAGCTTCCCTGGGCAGCCTGGGCCAGGCTCTCACCACCCTCACACTCCACAATTCCCTCCTGGCTTCCCACTCCGGTGATGGGGGTCATTCTTTCAGGGGTGAAGCTGGGTCTAGGACAAAGCCTGCAGGTGGCTGAGAAATTTTGCCTTGGGGTGCCAGCTTTTAGGGCGAGGAGGAGGAGAAGGGAGGCGGATCCTCCCCAGTGCAGCTCCTGGTGAGCTGTGAGCAACACCTCCATCTGGTGGTAACACCAGCACCAGGGTCCCAGATGAAAAACGGTGTCTGGTGCACGGGAGGACTCATCCCATGCCAGTGGCTTTGGCACAAGAATGACCAGGACGTCCTGATCTTCCGGTTCTTCAGCTTCCTCTGACTCTCCAATTGTCTCTGCCCTGAGCTGGATACAGACCAGCTCCCTGGCTGTTAGTCCCGATGGTTTTTGTGGGGTTTGGTGTCAGCAAGGCCAAGCCATCCCCGTGCACTGATGTCAGGGAACTCTGGTCAGCGACGTGGTCATCCGTGTTTGATCTTGTCCTTACCTTGACCCTTGGCAGTTCCCTGGGCTCCAAGTTAATCTGCAAACACAGGGTTCCTCTGCACGTGGGGCAGAACAAGTTGCCAAGGGGAGGCAAAAGCAGAGCAGGGGGCTGTGGTGGCAGAATGGGACCCCAGCACAGGAGATCCCACCCTCAGGGGAAGGGGAAGAGCTGGCACCAGCCAGCACTTTGGGGGAAGGTACCAATCCCACCTGATCCAGGGAGAAGAGAAAAGGGACATGCAGGCCCCAATGACCAGCTCTGTCAGGGTCCTGAGCAGCAAAATCTCCAGGGGGGTTTTGTGTCATGAGGAACCCAGTGGGACTGGCATGATGGATGAAGATCTGCGACCTGGGCTCAACAAAGTGTTGTATAAAAGACAGTTTGTAATGAGCATGGGCTAAAGTGGTATGGAATGAAGGGGATACAGGGAGAGAGAGGGGGTTGCTTATGTCCCTGAGGGATCCAGGGGCATCAACCACTGAAATCAGTTTTTTTATACATTTGTATATCTTTACATTATCCCACATGTTACTCTCCCTTCCCTGTTCTGTTGAACTTTATCTCCAAATAAGTTTTATCTCCAAATCTTTAAATCTCTCATCCCCTTTAATTTGCCCATGGGAAGGTGAAGGGGAGTGATTCTGTTCTCTGGGCCCAGACAGTGGCACAGGGGTGAAACAGATGGAGCTCTGAGCAACCTGGGCTGGTGGGAGGTGTCCCTGCCCATGCAGGGGGGTTGGATCTAGGTGATCTTGAAGGTTCCTTCCAACCCAAACCATCCTGTGAAAGAGGGAATGCCAGTGTGTGGCATTGGGAGCGAGGGAGAAGGGACCAAACAGCAGCCAAGTTGGCAAAGGAGATTTA